GACGGAGAAGTCCTAGGCCACAGGTCAGCCTGGGCTGCGCCTACAGAACTGGGGGGGTGGGGGGACTCGGACCCTGCACCATGGCCTTCCTCTCCGACAGTGGCCCCTCAGGAGGTTTACAAATGCCACCTCCCTCCAAAGAGGCTGTAAAAACCTCTGAGGTCTGGGCGTGCCCTTCCCCCCTTGCCTCCAGATGGGCCTTCAGGGGACCTGCTAAAGGTGCAGGTTCGTGTGTCTGGTCCCTCTCAGGGGCTGCAGTGCCAGGGAGAAGACAGAGGCCAGCCTGGGTGGGGAGGTTGGTAAGGACTGGGCACAGCTCCAATGTGTCTTCTTGGAGCCTCTGTCTCATGGATGTGGCAGCTCTGGCCTGGGAGTGACGACCCCCGGGCCAGGCCCCTCTGGCCCTGGTGGCCTGGCTGACCCCCACCCCTCAGCGTGGTTTTCCTTGACCCCTGGCCACGCTCTTCAGCATGCTCATCATGTGCACCATCCTGACCAACTGCGTGTTCATGGCCCAGCACGACCCTCCGCCCTGGACCAAGTATGTCGAGTGAGTATCTGCAGGGCCTCTCTGGCTGGCCCCTCCCTCCCTTCCTCCCCCTTCTATTCTGCGGCCCCACCAGTCACCCCTGAAGAGGGCTGGGCCCAGGCTCAGGACACATCCACCTGGGGGGTTCTTGGCCCAGCCCCCTCCTTCTTTTGCTGCTTCCCCTCCTGCCAGCTTCCTGCTCCGAGTTGTGCCCTCAGGGGAGGAAGCTTTCCAGGTCGGCAAAGTAGGGGTTCCCCCCAACGAGGCCTGAGGACATGGGAGAAGGCTCTCAAACAACAACAGCAACAACAACAATAATAATAACTGATTGAGCGCTTAGCGCATGGCAGACGCTGCCCTCGAACAGTAAACATCATCATCTCCTTGAACCCTCACGGTGACCCAGGAGGGTAGGTGCAGGCACATCCTATTTGACAGATGAGGAGACAGAGGAGGAGAGTAGTGCCTTGCCCGATACCATGCCGCTGGGAGGTGTGGCCGCCCGGAAGAGGTGCAGGGCTCTCCCCACTTCAACACCACACTCTGCCGCCTTTTCCCTCCGAGTCCTGCCTCTGTCACCATGTGCACCGTTTAGAAAACTGCTTCTGCTCCATCCTTCCCTGATGACAGCCTTACCTGCGGGTGTTGAGCAGACCTGAGAGGCTGTGGTGCATCTGGATCCTGTTTTCAGGAGATGGAAGCAGCTTGCGGGTGGCGGTCCCTGTTCACACGGGACCCCTCAGTGCTGCCCCCTCCCTGGGGCCTGCATCCAGCTCCTGGGACCTGGGAGGCACAGGGGGTGGCCCTCTCCCATTCCTGGGGGCCACAGCCCCCGCTTCCAGGCATTAGAGAACAGTCCCTACCCGTCCTCAGGTGTTAGAATAGAACCCCCTTTCCAAGGTCACGATAGACATCTGTAGCCACCTGCCCTGTAGGCGGTTGAGCGCGGACCATGCTCTCTCCTCACTAGCTGCTGAGGACCCACAAATAAGGCGAGGGGCTGTGACTTGGGTGTCCTTACTGTCCCACAGGCAGACCCGGTGGCCACCATAGGCCTGTGCCCATGGACTCCCAGGCCTGGGGTAAGGAAGTCGGTGGAGGGTCCTCTGACATCAAGACAACCAAGAGGAGATGGAGGCACAGGGGGCACGTGGCAGGCACTCTGTATGAGTAGCCACATGGGAAGATGGATTGTTAGCCGGAGGTTGGAGACAAAGCTCAGCCCACACCGCCAGCCCAGCCTGGAGGCCCTGAGAGGGGGCCGCGCAGGACTCACGCCTCCTGGGGAGCCGGGGAGCCTGGCCGCAGGCTTCGCCTCCCTGAGAGACCCGTCTCTCCTCCCAGGTACACCTTCACTGCCATTTACACCTTTGAGTCTCTGGTCAAGATACTGGCCCGAGGCTTCTGCCTGCACGAGTTCACCTTCCTTCGGGACCCGTGGAACTGGCTGGACTTCAGCGTGATTATCATGGCGTGAGTACCTCGCTCCCCCTCTGCGTTGTGCGGTGCCGCGCCAGGCCACCCCGAGGGGCAAGTGCATCTGGCTGCACCCGCCCTCCCGGCCTCCCTACTGCCGTCCACATTGTGGCTCTGCATGGGGCCGTCTAACAGCCCACCTTGCTGCCATGGCAGGGGGAAGTCAGGAGGGAGCCCTCGGCTCATCCTGGTGGGATAGCCGGGCCCAGAGTAGCTCAGGCCACGGTGGTCAGGTCCACTGCCCGTCCGTAGCCTCATGGCAGCCCTGTGCTCACGGGACACCGTTAACATTCTGGTTGAGCACCCTCTGGCCTATCCACCAAGGGAACCCAGGGTTATAGCCTGAAATGCCCCAACCACGGTGAACAGTGACTGTGAATGAAACCACAGTAAAGAGAGAGAAGGAGCCTGGGGAAGTGGCCGGGCATCCCCAGGAACTCACGCCACGCCCACCAGCATGTCTGCTCTGCCCAGTCATAGACTCCACATTCGGCTCATTTTAAGGCACCTGGTCCCTGACATGGCCCACTGGGTCCTCCCACCAGCCAGAGAGGTGGGCTGGATGGAGATTCCCTACCCGATTTTACAAATGAGAAAAACTAATGCCCAGGAGCTCACCAGGAAGTGAACGCGACCCCTGGCCCCGCCTCCTCGCCTGGGAGGACACCCTGGCTGAAGGGCTGGCTTGAAGCCTGTCACTCGGTGTCCCAGGCATCAGTGTCCCAGGCATCGGGCGCTGGGTTTTGGTGGAGACAACCCATCAGGGCGGGCCTCCCAAGCAGGAGCTGGGGTCAGGGGCTCAGTGTAGACTTAGAGCAGTAGACGGGTGCTGGGCAGAGCTGAGCGAGAGCGGAAGAAAGAGTAGTGGGGCAGGAGGACCCAGAGTGGTGGGGCTGGGGGCAGGCTCCTCCCAGGCCACAGTAAGAGCCAAGAGCAATGGGAGCCAAAGACCGCTCTGGCTGCCTTGTGGACAGGAGACGGAGGGGAAGGGTGAGAGCAACAGAGCAGTCGGGAGGCTATTTTAGTAGCCAGGAGAGGGGGTGGGGTGGACCAGGGTCCAGGTGGGGAAGGTGAGTGTCATGGTCAGATTCTGGGTATACAGTGAAGATGGGGCTGACCGGAGAGCCCAGGGCTGTCCTTGGCTGGAGCCGCTGGGTGAATGGTGTTACCACTTGTTGAAATGGAGAATGGAGGGAGGAGCTGGCAGAGGGAGGCAGGGAGTCCAAGGGCCACTTTGGAATGTATTTAGTTTGACCCCCACCCAGGGTGAGATATGGAGTCAGCAGCTGGAGGTTCCAACCTGGAGCTTGGGCTAGAGGTCCGAGCTGGAGATGTACGTTCAGAAGCCATTGGGGTGCAGAGGGTGTTTAAAGCCAGGAGACCAGATGAGCTCATCCAGGAGGGAGTGTAGACGGATCAGGGAAGCCGCCTGGGGGCTGGACCGAGGGACGTTCCACATCTCGGGGTCAGGATGGGGGCGGGGGGGGGGGGGCGGGAGGGCACTGCCAGGGAGGGTGGAGGGAAATCGGGAGAGAGCAGTGTCCCAAAAGCCAACTGAGGGCTGGGACTCAATTTGAAAGATACAAGGCTGCGTGAGGAAGGCAAGAACTGAGACTGGACCATCAGCGTCAATATTGCTAATGACCTTGACAAGACAGGTCAATGAGTGGAGGACTTACGCCTGATTATAGAGAGAGGGAGGAGGGGAGGCGGAGCAAGTGGAGACATCGATGTTGTGGGATTTGCTGTAAACAGGATCAAAAGCAGGGTGGTGGCCAGAGGGGAGGATGGGTGCAGGGAGGATGTTTAAAGAGGGAGGTGTCTTTGCAGGCGGATGGGCAGCATTCGGGAGAGAAGGGAAGTTTGGGGTGAAGGCGGGGGATTGCAGGATGGAAGCTTGAGCAGGCCGAGGGCGGGGGAATCCAGGGCCAGGCGGAGCGTTGGCGTTGAGTGGGGAAGGCAGGATTTCAGGTGGAGAGGGAGGTGGACTCGTAGAGCCGATGACGAGAGAACTGTCTCTTCTGAGTGCTGCTGTTTTGCTCAGTGATAACAAGCAGGATGGTCAGCTGAGAACATGTGGTTGGAGGAGAGTGGGAGCGGGAGTTTGCACTGACTTGGGAAGGGGTAGTATGGCCGCTGTGCCCCATGGGAGAGGGGCAGTGGTCCATGGGCCCCTGACGCCCCAGTGTCCCAGGAAGGGGGCTCAGCAGGAAGGACACAGCAGCTGCCTTCCCACCCCGGAGCCTGAGCAGCACAGTTTCATGAGGACGATGCCCCTGAGCCTGGGAAAGACACCGTGCCCTGGGCCCTTGTCTGATGGGCACCAGGCTCTGGCCTGTCTTCAGCCCATGACTCTGGGAAATGCTCTGCTTGACCTCAGGCCCTTCGCCAGTCCTGTCCCGTCTCAGGAGAGAATCCCGGCCTCCATCCCCCTCAGGATCCCACGGGGAACCCCTCCTTCCGCTCGGAGTCACAGAGCAGGTGTGCCCGGCCTGCCTTCACCCTGTGCCAGAACCGGGGGGACAGAGCAGAACGAGGCCTCAGAGGCCGCTGTCGTCCCTAGGACTGCATGGACCCCCTGGACGTCAGCTCTGTGCTCTGGGCTGGGTTGGCCTGGCAGCTTTGACTGACACTGGTTCTGTCTCATGAAAACAATTAATTGCTGCCGTGGGAATGCCGTAAAATGCATTTTGCTCTAGCCAACTGGGTCAATAACGCCGGGCTCTTAGGATAATCCAAGGTGTCTTAAGTGGCAGCAAAGTTGTATGAAACTCCCCATCCCATCTCTTTCTTATGGAGATGGGGAAACCGAGGCCCAGAGAGAGCCTGCACTTGCCCAAAATGGTAGAATGTATCGGCAGCAATGTCTCCTAGCTCATAACCATGAGAGGCACCCCAAGTCTGGTGTTCCTGGCCAGGCTTCGACCTGACCCCCCACCCCCACCTCCACCTGATTTCGAGGTGGTGGGAGGGTTGGAGGGGGTGTCAGGAAACCCGCCAGGCCCAGCCTGCAGCCCGCCAGCCAGAGCTCTTCCTGTGGCCCCCTCCCAGCTGGGCATTACCTGCCAGTTAGCACAGCCTCCCACCTTCTGGGGTTGTTATGGAAACCAAACCTGGAGGGGAAGATGGGGGGGGAGCAGAGAGGAGAAGGTGGCAATCACCGCCGATGCTAATGTGTTGAGTGTGCCCTCTGCCTAGCAGCCCAGGAGGGGCCATCGGCATCGAATGGGAGGGTGCACAGCAGGCCCGGGCAGGGCAGGGAGAAGGCCCAGGCCTGCCCTTCCTCGTGGTTCCTGGGCCCCCAGAAAGGCTCCCTCTGCACCGGGGCTGGTGTGCGGGATGGCATTCTCACCCACACCCTCTGCGCCTTCTGTGCCGGGGCCCACGACCCCACCCCAGCCCTCTGCCCCTGCCCAGCAGCGTGGTCATGGCAGGGGAAGGAGAATGGCTTGGAGGAGCATTTTGCCAGCCTGGCAGGAGGATTGGGCTCCCACCCAGCACGGCTGAAGCTGGTCCTTTGCCAGATATGGGTCTCTCCTGCCTGGCCCCACTCCCAGGCCCCACGAGAGGCCTCGCTAGGAGGCTAAGGCCCCAGGCTCTGGGCGGAGTAAAAGGCGACAGCCCCGTGTCCCACACGTGGTCACAGCCACGCCATGCCCCCACCCAGCCCTGTGCCCCACCTTCCAGACTTCTACCCCCCCCCCGCCCCCGGATTGCTCCCACACGTGTCCAACATCACAAACACACCACCAGCGGCCCCTCCGCTGTTCTCAGCCACTTGGCTGGCTTTGCAAGCCTGGGTGCACACACATCCGGACCCTGGGGTCTCGGCTTCTCTGTGCTCAGAACCAGCTGCTGAGGGGGCAGGGGATGAATGGAGGGCAAGCGCTGCCTGCACTGGGGACCTGAGGGGGTGGGGAAGGCAGGTGCACAGCAGGACAGGGCCAGGGCGGGGCAGGGAGAAGGGGACGGGCAAAGACAGACAGAATCACTTCACTGGAGCCTCAGGACAGGCAGGTCTATGAAGGACAGGAGGGGAGCAGCAGGGACGGTTGGTTCCCTCTCGGATCTACACAGTACTCCCCTCTCTCCCTGGAACCGGAAGAAAAAGCCTTGAAGCCAGAGGCCAAGCAAGGAAAGCTCCCCTCCCCCTCCGCCCCCCGCCACCAGCCAGCCACAGGAGACAGGGCCCAGAGCCCCCAGCCGGCCGGGCGTCCATGGATGGCAGCATGGGCAACGTTTCCCGCTTAACTTAACCGTCAAAGTTAAGGCAGCCCTGTGTCTGGACAGAGCCCAAGCCTGAGAGGGGAACGTGGAACAGAGGCCTGAAGGTCTGACCCGTCAGAGAGATCGGAATAGCCATCAAAATTCGAGAGGGAGCGCGGACCAAATCAGTAGGTATATATGGGCCAGAACAAAGGAGGTGACTTCTGCTCCCTGCCGGAAGGTGGGCTGCATCCGATCATCGCTGCCCTGGAGGAAGATTTGTTGGCTGAAGTGGGTCCAGGAGGCGGAGTGGAAGTGGAAACGGTCTGTGGTGTGACAAGAAGGAAAGTTCTGTGGACTCCCCATCCCTGCAGGGATGTAGTGAGCAAGGAGGGAGCAGACGTGGTCTGCAGGCCCCGTGCGTGGCCGTGGAGGACGCTGGTGCCAGCCAGTGTCAGCGCTGGGCCACACTGGACCCTGCTGACCCCCGGACACCGAGTCCCCTGACACAGCTGCCAAGTCCTTCTCTGTAGACACCCCCGGCCCGAAGGCCGATGCAGAAGTTCCGAGTAGAGTGGAGGGGCCTGGTTCCCCGACTGCCTGGCAGAGTGAGTCCCGCGGCACTGCCAGCCCACCCTTGGCACTCTCCCGGCGTCGCTGGGCTGACGTCCTGGGTCTGACATCACTCAGACACCAAGTCAGACACACTTGGTTAAACATCAGACGTCCCGAGTCCGCTGTTCTTTGTTAAACATCAGACACCTTCGGTTAAATGTCAGACACCCTGCATGCGAAGCCGTTGGTTAAATATCACAAGTCACTTGCCATTGTCCCGATGGCCCTGGTCACATACTGTCCCTCCGTCTCTCAGACATGCTGGTCATGTGGCCCCTCCACACGTGTCCTCACACTCTGCTTGGGCAGGTCCCTGCCCCCAGAGAGCACTCCTTCCTCCTATACCCGTGGAGGCCATGGAGGTCCGAGCTGTAGGCGGGAGCCCGCGCCCACTCGCTCTGCTCAGCGTCACTGGGCTCAAGAAAACCCCAATGGCTGCTCACCTCCAGAGGGCTCTCCTACTGTGGAGACCCAGCGCATCCCTGGGGACAATGAGGGTCTGGGGTGAAGACTGGGGTGGACTCATGCAGGGGGAGGGTTGGAGTCTCCCTCAGATCCCTGGTCCTGCTTTTTTTCTCTTCTGGTGCCACTGCTGTGAGCAGTGGAGGAGCTGATGATCAGCA